AAAACTTAAAGGTAAGTTCTATAGAGCAGTGGCTAGATCGACTATGTTGTATGGGATGGAGTGTTGGCCAAAGAAGAGCTCCCATGTCTAAAAGATGAAGGTGGATAAAATGAGGATGTTGAGATGGATGTGCGCTCATCTACTAGATTTTATAGAATTAGAAATGAAGTTATTCGGGACAAGGTGGGTGTAGCCCCTGTGGAGGACAAGATGCGGAAGGCGAGACTTAGATGGTTCAGGTATGTGAAGAGGAGAGGAACATATGCACCTGTGAGGAGGTGTGAGAGGTTGGCCCTGGAGGTCCTAAGGAGAGGTAGAGGCAGGCCGAAAAAGTATTGAGGAGAGGTGATTAGGCAAGATATAGCGTTGCTCCAGCTTATTGAGGGCATTACCATGTATAGGAAGATATGGAGATGGAGAATAAACGTAAAGGGTTAGGATAGGTATAGCCGAGCATTGTCCTTGTCTGTAACAATAGCTTTAGCACATGACTTACTGTTATTTGTGTATTTACGTATATATTCCTTGACTTCTGTTACTACTTGTTGTTGCTTTCATTTCGGTTTTCTTATTTCAGTACCTAGTTTTAGTTTTGTAGTTTTGCTTCGGTTTCTGATTGGTGTGCTTGTTGTTGCCCTCCCTTTTACCTTTCCTAGCCGAGGGTCTACCGGAAACAATATCGTTGCCTTCTTGAAGGTAGGCGTAAGGTCTGTGTATACACTACCCTCCCCATACTTCACTTGATGGATTACACTGAGTTTGTTGTTGTTGTTGGACAAAGCTAACCTTTGATATCATTCACCACGACTCAAACTGAGAGTCATAACTCTAGATTCGACACAGTGTCTTCAACATCCAACTAAATCTTAACTATAACTGGAATTGATAACTCAATTATTGTACTCCATTTACATTTCACATTTCATCACAATACAGGTCCGTTCTAAGACATCGGTGAAAACAAAAAGATACAGAAAAGGTCCACGTCTGATTACTCGCCATAAAAACAAAGTATTGATTGAAAAAGGAGGAATATATGATGTAAATATATAAATTTATATTATATAGGAGTAGTTAGTGTTTATGGGTTTTCTCAAAGATATTCTTAATATTTAAGTCCATCGTGCAGCGCAAAATATATAAAATATTTAATGGATAATGATATTAGAAAAATCTATCACCATCACCAAAGATATCTATGGTAGAATGTCATAGGAGTTCATGAATAATTGAACCATCGAGTTGTTGTCCTAAATAAATAAAACTAAAGTAAAGGCCTGCTTAGACGGAGACATGTTAGGATGTGGTGTTCGGTTCTTTCAACAAATCTCTCTATAGTTTGATATATCAGAATAATTATAGGGATATGCCATAAACCTAAGAGGCATGGAATCATGGCCCTTTAATATAATAATAATAATAATAATAATAATAATAATAATAATAATAATAATAATAATAATGATAATAATAATAATTAGATAAAAAATGAATTAGAAATCTATTAGTACTCATCCATCCAGAAAGAAAAGAAGTGCCAAAACTTGGGGTTTAAGTTTCACCACCTTTTCCAAAAGTTTGTTGTATATATCTCGTATTGCCTCTAGTCTTATGAGTATTACTTTTTAGGGAATTGAAAAAGTGAGATTATTTAATTTTTGTCTATTCGATCTGTTTGCCTAATTATAGTTACCCTTTCGATCCATAATAAGTGACCAATTTGATTTGAGCACACCTATTAAGGAAATACTACTAAATTTTAGAAAAAAATAGTTAGTGTGATAAAACTACCCTTAATTAAATGATACAACATAGTTATAGTAGCACTTACTTCTCTTCTCAAATGTCAGGAGTAAAAGACCTTTTAGGGATACGCACATAAGGGTAATTTTGGAAAACAAATTGAATTTTTTCGTGATTATCTAAATGGACACTTATTTTGGACTAAAATAAAAAGGCAAATTGATCATTTATTGTGGATCGAGGAAGTAAAAGTTAAGCTAACTACTCCCTCCGGTCCACAATAAGTGACCAATTTGCTTTGGGCACACCCATTAAGAAAATACTAAATTCTAGACAAAAATAGTTAGTATGGCTAAACTACCCTTAATTAAATATTGCAGCATAATTTAATGTGAGGAGTAAAAAAACTTTTTAGGGATGCGTACATAAGGGTAATTTTGAAAAAACAAATTGAATTTTTTCTTGATTATATAAATGGACACTTATTTTGTAAAAACTAATTAGTCACTTATTGTGGACCGTAGGGAATAATTCGGATCTATACAAAAATTCAAGAACAAGGAGCATGAAGCATGTGATTTTGCAAACTCCCATACGGTTTAGGGTCCGCACTCTAAAAATTTGGGATTTGGTATAAGGTTCCATCACTAAATCCCAAATTTTTAGTTTCTACCAAAGCTGATTTAATGTAATTATCGAAGAACCCTTGATTTGCAACTTGCATTTATTAGAATCTTGGAAATTAGTGAAAAAAATTTTAAAAAAAAGTTTAACTAATTTATCCATTTATTTGACTAGTATTAAGGATTTAGGCCAGTTCATGGGACGAGCTTCTTGTCTTCTACAGTTGAGATGGAGGTTTCAACCTTATCGATACGTAATATCTCCTTCCCTTTTTCTGTCTCCTCCCCTGATATACAACAACAACAATAATAATAACAAAAATAACAATAACAATAATAACGAGCCCAGTGAAATTCTACAAACGGGTTTTGGGAAGGGTAAAGGGTATGCATATCTTATCCCTACCCGATAAAGGTCGAGAGACTGTTTTCGAGAGACCCTCGGCTTAAAAGAAGTAATGAAAAATAATATATGAGGGGAGTCTGTCTCCTCCCCTGATATAAAAAATACAAGGAAATAATGTAAAATAATCACTACTAGTAGTAGTAGTAGTATTTATTTTCCTACTTTATTTCTGTTCTATCTTTTAGTAACTAGGGTTTCGGAGTGGTGAGGTGGTACCATACCTTAGCCTTGAAGGGGTTAGTCCAAATAAGGGTGGGTCCATTTTAGGTATTGTCCAAAAGTTTATTTTTTAGTGGGACCCTTTGTTGGTCTCCAAAGTCCAAACGACCTTAACACACCCCCCCCCCCAACTCCACCC